TTTCCCCTTAAAGCCTGCTCTAAAACCTTGCACCATAAGATCAAACTACTAAGCCTGTAATTGCTCAGATTTCTTTCCTTTCTTCCTTCACAAATGTACCTTTTTTAAATGTCCCTGTTTTTTCCCAGAAGCAAAGCCTACAATTATTTTCTGCCCACCTCTCCCTAATAGTTTTTAACTCTTTAACCAATTCCATCTACAGTTTGACAGAAGGGCACAGCTCACTGAGATAATTAAGTCCCTACAAGCTTAATGAAAATAGCTGAGCATGAGGAGAAGGGATCCCAAGTGCCCTGTGGCTCTGCAGACTGTGAGCACAGCTCTGCAGGGCGAGAGGTGCTGCATTGAGGAGCTGAGATAAACACTGGGTGAAGAGGAACAGCTTCATCCAGGCTCTCAGCTCCATCGACACCAAAGTCAATCAAACACTTTGGATCTGTAGCAAAAGAGGATTCATTAATTGCAGAGCTCTTGTAGCCACTTGTTTAAATGTAGGCTTTATTCTGCTTTTTCCTCAAGTGTGCAGTGCTAGTCCATGAACCAGGATTTCAGTTATCCTGGTCCATTGGTTTGGCAGTGCTTTGCTTTAGCAAGAATGCTTTGGATCCTGTTTTTTCCCAGCCAGCCAACATTCCACCCTAACCACACTGGCTGTACACACCTTTCTGCAGCCTTCACAGGAAAGACCAGACATGTTTAACTCTTTCTCTCTGCTCTTTCTCAGCTCTTTGTCCTAATTTACAATTTTAAAGGAGACTTCTATAAGATTCCTAAGGAGTTTTCATCTCCACACACACTGCAATTTGTGTTCCCATCCTGTAGCATATTAGGCACGGCAGTGGTTCCTATAAGAGTAATTGCAGCTGCATAGGGGGAGTTATATTCTTATCCAATCATATAACCTGAATTCCTGGGGTTTTATCAGTTTTTCAACAAGACTGACTGAAGCCAAGAGCATCTTGCTCCAATTTAGTACCCTCCCAGGGAGCCTGTGCCCCCACAGGACACTGCTGGGGCCCCCATTACCAAGTGCTGAGTGCAGCTGCCTGGTTCAGGCAGTTTCTGACCCTCTCTCTTCCCTTGCCCAGCAAATGGAAATCCCAATTCTTTGCTTCATCGTTTCCCACTATCCCTTCCAGCATTTTCCCCTCAGTCGTCAGCCTCCTGTGCATTTCTGAAACAGTTTCTCTGGTTGCACTTCTTAGCCATTAACCTCTCACATCTCCATTCTGTTCAAGCTCCCACTTACCACCAGCTGGTTGCAGGAAAGGGCTGGTTACGCTGGGATGGGTCAGCTGTACTGGGGTCCCCCTGCCTTGGCCATGCCTGTTGTGCAGCTGGCAGACAACTAAGCCTCAGCCTTCCCTGCACTGAGCCTACCAAGTACTGTGGCTTTGCGTAGCCTTTCCTCTCCAGCTGCCACATTAACAGAGCACAGTAAATGAGGTTTGGCCTATGTGCAGCATCTTACAAATTTCAAGTGCCTTGCATTAAACATCCACCCCATTGTTCATGGCCCGAGGCACGGGGAGATCGCAGCGGGAGAATCTCTGTGGTGATTCATGCCAAGACGTGGAGGAAGCAGCAATAGTATTGATAGTACTTTATTCACATTTACAAATGAAAGACCAAATGTGTTTTTTATTGATTTCCCTGTTTAGTGGAAGATGCTCTTCAAAGTCACCGTGACTCTGTACTGAAAGCTCTGAGAGACAGAAGCCAAATGGAGCAGGCACTGCTGGAGATGGAGGGGAGACTTGCAGCCGTAAGTGCAAAATTAATCTTTTATTCTGAATCCTCATTCTGAATTTCTCACACTTCTTCAAAATACTAACTGAATATTAAATTGCCTTCAGATGGTGGATTATAAAGCTGACTGCTCTAGTTATAATGAAGGGGGAAAGATGTATTAAAATGCTAATTCTAGGCCAGATACTGATGGATGCTTACCCAACCACTGGCTAACAGTGCTGTAAGCTCTGATGAAGCCCTGGTCAGTAAGACAAGAGCCCAACAGTGCCCTGTCGTGGCAGACCACGACAGAGCACTCACTGCTCCCTCACCTGGCACATGCCTTTGCTGGAGGAGGTGGTGCAGTGCATGCCCGTGAGGGGAGAGCACCTTGCAAAAGTGCAACACCTTGTCCCTTCAGTGAGGTGTTTCCCAGGGAGAGGGGAAAAAAAGAGGTGAAAACAGAACAAGTGAGTGTCAGAGGCATAAGAATTAGTTGTCAGAGACCTCCTGGACAGGTCTGGTTTCTCCAAAGGCCCTGCTGTAGGAATTGCTTTTGGCAAGGATGTGTCATACCAGTGATGAGAAGGCAGTGCTCCTGGGAGAGGGGGCACACAGTGGGTTAGGGGTATGCTTCTGTTCCAAACCTCTCACTTTGGTGGGACAGTTTGAGGATACACAGGAAGATACAGATTGCTGATCTTTGAATCAAACTGACACATGGTACCTGAAACTTTCTTATTATTGTGCCTTTTCATGTATTGCTTACTGCTTCTGCTCTGCTTGCTGCTTCCCCAGAAAGATGCGGAGATTTCAGATGTGAAATCCAGTGTTCAGCTGCTGAAAGAGGGTCTGGAATCACTGCCAGCCCAGTTGAATGACCAGCACCTGAAGCTGTGTAAAGAACTAGACTTCGTGAAGCTCTCTACTGCCTCAGCTGAGCAGCACACACTTGTGCCTAGTGCCAGACTGCCCCCTCACATGACAGATAACTCTTCCCAGACCTCCCCTGGCCCGTGCCAGCTCCCTGTCCTGGATGAGGAGCACCCATGCCAGCCCTGCTGCCGAGGCAGCAGGGTTTGCAGCTGCTCAGGCTGGTCTCATTTCCACTGCATGACAGTGGGGGAGCAACACAGACACTCCCCTGGGAGGAACCAGATCACTGAGGATGGCACCTCTAAGGGTGCAGCCTCAGGAGGCAAAGCCATTGCTACAGAGGCCTGTGACGGAGCAAACACCTCTTTGCAGAAGATGAAATATGGCTTGGAGACACAGAGCTGTGCTACCCATCCTTGCATGTGCCGGGCTGACAGTAACTTTTTGGGGGGCAGTCAGAAGAAACACTGTCCTGTACCATTGGAAGCGCCCCTACCAACCCCACGGAGGAAGGCGTTCAGGAGAGGCACTGGAGGGTTTGAAGCCCTGACACCGTCACAGCAGCAACAGCCTCAAGGTTGCCACCAGTCTGTGTGGAAAGCTCCACCTGAGCAAAAAGACAGCAACAGGTCCACAGACCACAAGGTGCAGAACGCAGCTGTAGGCAACAAAACAAAACAGAGTCCAGAAAGGATCCCCTGGAATAAAGCTGTAGGGAGGAAGAAAGCATACCCTGCTAAGAGGAAAGGCGAGCTCTCTCGATGTGCTGACAGTGGGCTGAAGCAGAGGAAGGCAAATGGGATTATTGAGTTGGAAAGCTCCAGAAAAAATTGCTTTCCCAGATACTTGGTTGATCTCAATTCAGAAAGCTCTGACCCGGTTTTCGCAGCTCGCCATCAGCAGATCCTCAGCAGCGCTCAGCCAGGGCTTACAGAGAATTTCCCACCAGTGCCATGCTCTGATAAAAGCCTGCAACAACGTGCTAGCAGAAGAAAGAAAAGTTTGGAAATTAAAAGAAGAGTGAATGTTTCCACCGTAAAAACGTATATCTTGGATTCCTCTCCTGAGGGGAATATATTATCCCTATGCAGCACAACAGATGTAGAGCAGATGAGCTGCTTCAACCTCCGAAGCCCCTCAAGCTCCAAGAAACCACATCCTGCCAATCCGCTGGCTCAGAAGAACCCAACCTGTTGCTCTTTACTGTTTGATAGTGATTCTTCTGATTGAAGGGGTCATGTTTGGAGCCCCCAGTGCAGGCTTGGCCATCTCAGTTGCAGTTTATTCTTCTAGGTGTGTTACCTGCTTAGCCAGAGGTTCTAAAGTGTTATTGCCCAGTTTGAGATATTGCAAGAGACCATGTGAGGACAGCTCTCCCCTCTCCTGGAGCTGTATTACTTTATCTCCCTGCTCCCACCAGAGATGCCAAGGGCTCCATTTACCATTGTATTTACACACTTGCAGAGTCTGCTGAGACATTCCCAGGGAGGAGAGATTTGGCAGAGTACAGACAGGCAGCTCAGTCAGATTTGGCACTGAGATTTACTGGAAACTTTTCAACTTTTCAATGTAATGCTATCTCTGTGGCCAGAGGCTTCATTCTGTTTCTCACCCATAGTCTCTATGTTGGTTTGTTGTGTAAAAGTTCAGGTTTTTAGTTCTGGAGGCAGTAGTAGTGTTGTTCTGGTTGATTTCAATAAGGTTTAGATTTGTCCCAGGAGCTTTTGTGAACTTTGGACAGGGACCAGTTCAGCTGAGGAAAACCAAATCCCAGTGTCTCAGGTTCATCGATTATTGAATTTCTTCTCCTTTTAGGCTGAAAATTTCTTGGCCTCAGAAATTTCAGGAAATTATTTTGTTTCTACTTTTTTTGTATTTGTATCTCTTGGCTGATTAAGGAATTCTCCAACGTATCCTTTTCAAGGGCAGTGGTTCTCAAACAGAGGCCAAAAGATACAATGTTCAGATCCAGCAGATGACACGTTGGACAGCCCCTATTCCCACAGAGAACTCTTTCCATGGTACCCAACTGTGACTATCAGTAGCTCCCACTGCTTCAGCCATTTGCGTCAGCTTTGATTTGATTTGAAATCTTACCAGTAAAAAAGCATTTTGATGTTCACAAAAGCAAATTTGTGGTGTTGCCACAAATCTAAATGATCCAGCTTTGTCATCCCGGCTTTAATAAACTCTTTGTGCTGTCACCAAAGCCCATTTTCTCTGTGTTGGTTTTTCAGGAGAGTCACGGTCCTGTTCAGTGGGAGAGTGGGCGGCTCCCCTGGAGCCGTGTTTAACTCCCCTGGATCGTGGAACTGGGAGGATTCCTTTCTTCAGTTCCTTTCTTTGTTTAAAGAAGGAAAACTACACCCCTCCAGTTTAACACTGGTCCAGTGATGTTAATTAGCAAGGAGGAGGAGGTGGGGGTAGGTGTGGGAGTTGGTCAGGGAAGGGGCTGGGTGACGCTGCCGGCAGCAGTGGCTGTTCTTTTCACATTGCCCTCATGTATCCGCCTCCCCGTCATTCCCTTTACGGCCTTCGCTGGGCAAAACCTGCTCGGGGGGGCTCACGACCCCCTGCATTTTGGGGCCGGCGGGGACGGGTGCAGGTCGCTGTGCAGCCCCCGGCCTGGGCGCAGGGAGCTCGACAGCACATGGCTGAGCTTGGAGGGACCTCTGGAGGTGTCTGCAGCAAGCCCCTGTGCAAAGCAAAGCAGGGACTGGCTCCTCGGCACCCCGACATGGAGCACCAGTGCCGTGGGGTGCAATGCGGGGCTGCCCTGGGGACCCCGCAGCCCCTGCCACACACATGTGCTGGCACACAGCTCAAAACAAAATCTCTGGAGATGGAGGTGTAACAGCAACAGCAGCCAGCAGTGCCTCCCCACGTCGACTCACAACTGATTAAGGGGATGCAGCCCCGGGGTGCCACACTGGCCCCCATGGCACCTCCTGTTCCCACTCAGGATGTCCTCCAGGATTTTAGCTGCCAACAAGGGTATTTGTCCCAATACGGCTGTGACAATGGCAGCTCCTCTTCCAGCCTTGCTGGACAAAAATGGAAGCATGTGTGCTGCATGGCAGCAGAATTCCCGGGCACCCTGCTTACGTCCCAAGGGAGCAGGTCCTGCCTCCCAGCCCGTGCTCCCAGCTCACTGTCACTGGCTCCTTGCCAGAGCCAACCATGCCCTAGGCATGTGGGGCCCTGCATCCACAGTTTCTCCTGGACTTTGCCTCCATGAGGCCGCCAGTGGGGCTGTGTTTGTGGGGTCTCATCCCACCCTTTACCCAGGGAAGGTGTCAGGGTGGTTCCTCCAGCAGCACAGCCAAGGGAGACTGCGGAGGGCATGGGACAGGACCATAAAACATGCACAGTGGTCAGAAAATAGCAAAGCTGGGCTCCAGACTGTTTGAGGGCGCTTAATTGGGGCAGTTTTCTCTGAAACTGGGGTTTTGTCCTATTATCTTTGGGGAGAGCCCAGGAGAAGGGGGATTACAGTGGTCAAAAGCCTATGACACCCAGGTAGCCGCAGGCATAGGGGTGTGAGAGCACTGGTCACATCCTTCACCTGCTGTACAGGCAGCAGGCAGCCTCTGTGGCAGCACAGAGCAGGGGGCTCAACTTTTCACCGACCGGTGAGTCACTTGGCAGAAGAGGAAACCTCTGACGGCACAGAGGATGTGGCTGCTGTGCCCCTGCCTTGTGCAAAAGGTGCCCCAACGGCTGTGGTATATAGGGCACAGCCAGCTCCCTCCCCACAGTCCCACTGCACACTCAGCACTGTGGCTGCACCAGCCACGAGATGAGACCATCTGGCCGTGGTGGTGCTGGCAGTCCCCCTGCAGTGCAGGATCACCTCCACTCTCCCCCTGGGCGGCCTCCCCAGTGCTAATCCCCAGACTAACTGCCTGCCCTGTCTGTGTTGTGGGGCCCGGCACAAC